AAACTCTGTCTACAACTCAACAAAACTGAAACTCTGTCTACAACTCAAGAGGACCTCCACTCCCACTGACTTACAATTTTAAAATAATCATCTTAATTAAAATTTAGAATGTGGAAAAATATATCACGATATTTCTGCAGCAAGGTGTCTGTCCGGAATCCTCGTGTGGTCGATCTCCCTTGAACTCGATCGTCGGCCCCCCCATCACTCAAAAGGATTTTTGTCCCAAGGTTGGAGGAGGACACCTGTTAGGTCGTCCCAATGGCCAGTCGCCGACGAACGTGAGGTCAGTTCGACGGACCAACAGCGGATCCCATCCTCGTCGCCAAGTTGTGGTGAAAAAAAAACTTTTCCATGTCTGTTAAACGAAGTACAGAAATACGTGATCAAAAAAGTTCTTCACTACATTGGTCTCTGAGTAATTTTATTGCAATAAAATGAGAATCAACATGCATACAGCAGTACAAGTTGAGCCTGGGGACACAGCCCGGTGAAGCATCGTTATACCTTTAGCAGGAACCAGTCCCAAAACTGGTAATTTTTGACATGTAAGGAGTGGTTCTTTATCTGAGCAGCAAAAATTCCTAATTTCAGATAAAAACTTGTTCTGTGATCTTTAAACAGAGGAAAACACTTTTAAATGTGGTTATACTTGCTATTTCATTATCTCTTACATGTTCCCATTCCAATAATAACAAAACAAATAGTTCTGTAATCCAGTTGAGCAGAAACTACAGGTATTTTGTGAGGTTTAAGCTGGAACAACAAGAAATTTCACTTTTAAGGTGCTTTAACGGAAACTTACCACATCAGTTGCAATTATTTAGAACAGGGGTGCCCAAACATTTTTTCTGAGAGGGCCAAAATTAAAAAAACATTTACCATGAAAGGGCTAAAATTCAAATCAATCTGAGGGCCATGGGCCAAATGCAATAATATATGAAATGCAAAGTAAAGTTGTTTTATTTTTTATGATTAAACTAGCAGCAAAGGCTCATGGGACTTTTCACATTTAAAATTTTAGTATATGTAGTCTTATAAGGTGTGCAAATCTAGATATGGGCTTAAATCTAATCTAAATGTCTCAATCTAATAACCAGGGGCCTCATGTATCAACGGTGCGTACGCACAAAAACCTTGTGTACGCCATTTTCCACGCAAAACTCCGGATGTATCAAAACTCAACTGAACGTGGAAATGTGCGCAGCCCCACGCCAACTCCAGGGCTGGTGTACACACGTTTCTGTGGCTTTGGTTCCATTGGCGACACTTAGAGGTGATTCTGAGAAACTGTTCATGATGTGAAAAGGATTATTGTTCACACCACGATTAACAATTATTACATCCACATGATTAACAATTATTACATCCACATGGATGCAGTTAAATAAAGGGCGCGCAAAGTTGTGCCAAAAATACATTTAACAGGAACAGATGTTTCACACTTGGCATTTACGTTGTAGATTTCTCCAAAATGACACGTGGAAGTACACTTTACAACTTGTGAAAATGCTGTAAGTAGGAGAGCAAAAGCTTGACAGACAGACAGACACAAAGGCTGCGGTGCGCGCTGTTTGTGGAGACTCTCCAACATCACATCACGTCATGTGAACTCTATACTGAGACGCAGAGACTCGTTTCTTCATATCAGCTATGAAATAAACAAAGATCTATGTTCTACCAAACATCTAAGTTCCTCTGTGTTTACAGTAATTATGGTAATAAACTCGTGCTCAAAGTTAATATTTTCAGACTCAGAATGGATGGATGAGCCGGGTGTGCAACACAGCAGCGTGCGCGCACACACACACCAACACACAATCACTCGTCCTTTGCGTGATAAACACATTTTATTCCTATTTTTACTTAGGATTTTTTTCTCACTCACATTATATTTAATTCATTATTTTTATGACTCTAGAAATCATTTCTGATCGCGCAGGGATCAAACAAACGTGTCCTTCACACATGCAGGAAGTAATTTGCATCTGTTTAACATATGTTATTGAAGGCGTGTCAGGGGAGGTGTCTCACCTGCGCTCAGTTCCTTGTTAATTGTGATGTGCAAAAGAAATGTGCGTGGATTCAGGCGTACGCACAGTTTCATACATCTGGATATTTTTGTGCGTACGCTGTTTTCTGGATTTGACCCAACGTCAGGTTACAGTAAGAAATCCACGCAAGTCTTTGTACATGAGGCCCCAGGACAACTGCTGGTGGGCCAAATCAAATGGCTTGGTGGGCCAATTTTGGCCCGCGGGCCCCACTTTGGGAACCTCTGATTTAGAATATATCATGACTGTAAGCATACAATGCATTTATACAAGAAAGAAACATAAGTAAAATACATTCAAAACTTAAATACATGGATGGCGATTTCATTTCCCTTCAGATCTGTGTTGACAGTTTTTCTGACAAATAATTGCAGATGATACCATTTTGCCCAACTCTAATGCACATGAGTTCACACAAGGCGACAGTAATAACCGTGTACTCAAGCAAGACAATGAAGTCGATTCTCCAATCGCACTCACACAGAGCGAAGTTAATAAATGTCTATATTAGTTGCCTAAGTCTTTATTTAAAAATTGAAATAATTTGGACATATAAAGTCAATGAGATATGATTGTTAATATATGAGAGTTTTGTTTAATAAATGATTTATTAGTTCTCTCATCAGCCATTAAAGCAGTCAGTTCCTCTGTGAACAGGTGAAAGTCAGTGTAAGTCTGGAACATGCCAAACTTTCACAGCATCGCTCATCTACATGTTTAATCCCACGTGTTGCTTCATTAGAGATTTCCCACGGCAGGTGTGTGACATAAGACCAAAAGGAGCAATAACCATGATCTGACAGAACAATTAGTGAATGCTCTTCAACACGTGGCTCTGGACTTGAACTTCTCTGTGCCAATCATGACAGCGGTGATAAGAGTCTGTTAGATAAAATGAAACATCTCCATTACAACAGTTCTTATTTAAAGGTCAATAACACAAAGAGTCAAACAGATCAGGAGCAACAAGCAGTCTTTTTTTTTAAACTTGATGGAATTTATACACCCTGATCACATTCCCTACACTCCTCCGATACAAGAAAAACAAACAGCGATAAGGTGGAGAAGAAAAAGTTTTTTCCGCACCACATTTTTTACATTTTTTTTCCTCTGATTGTTTTGTTTTTCACACTTGAGGAACAACAGAGTTATCATTTCTAAATTGAAACCTTATTTCACCTTTGCTACGTAAGTGACCAAAAAAAAACTCTTGGTGAAGTTCTCAATAATCAGATCGTATTTCCTGTTAGTGTTTGTGACACACCGTATTACTAAAAATGATTTTGTAATGTTTTCTCATTTCGAAACATTCCCGAGTGAACACTTGTTGAGTGAACTGATGACACCAGTGAGTTTTCGAGAAATGAAAAACTCCTTTTAGCAAAAGTTATCAAAGTCTCACAGCGTGATTCAGTTTTATAAATGAATCCTTTGAGCAAGATGTTCCCCTTTAAATCGCTCTCTGTCACCACGGCTCAGTGTGAACCCTCTTGATATGAATCAATACTAGTGCAGTTATTTAAAAATTTACATTTTTTGCTTTTTTTAAATATAAAACAACTATGCTGATGTTCCAAATAAAATAAATTAAAACAGTCTGAAATAAGTTAACTCCATCTGAAGACACAAGGATAACAAGAAGCTTTGAAAAACAGATTAAAGTTACCATTTATTTCATTAAGACAACTCAGGAATAAAAAAAAGCAAAAACATATAATATAATTATTTGTTTTATATAAAGTATTAAATAGCATAAAGGTTTTTTTTACACTTCGGGTCACAATAACAGGTTAACATTTGTTATAAATGGCAGGAGGATAGATCAGGTAATGAAATCACTGCAAAAAATGTTTTATAAACAAAATTGAACATTTCATAAGCATAAAATCAACATTAATGACCTGATTACTGTTTGTTAGAGAACATTTACCAACTGAAGGCCATTTGTTAAAGCTCAGTTCTCATGTTCCACTTTTATCCTACATAAAACAAATAATAATAATGTGAAAATCTTCCTTGATGCTCCATTAAAATATAAAAAACATGCTTTAGTTTCAGTTCAATTTTTTCCCAGCCTTTTTGTAACTTCTTTTAAAAGCTTTAACTTTATGTTAAAACTGTTTAAGCAGCTTGCCCTGAAAAAAAATCTGTTTAGAATGAATTATTATATATTTTTTTCTATTATTTGTTGCAGAGAGTGCCTTGGAGCTAGAAGGTGCGATCTCCGGGTGGCCTTAAGACCCTTTGAAGGGGGAGGGGGGGTGGGCTGGAGGTTGGGAGGTGTCTGCCTTATCTGGTTCCCCCTTATGTGCTGTCAGTGATCCTGACTCTGGGAGTAACGAGCAAAAATGAGGTCAAACTGAAACTTAAGTGCTCAAAATGTGTCTGAATTGAAGCAAACATGTTTTGATTAAGCGTTCCAGAAGTGAGGCTCTGTAGTAAAGCTGTGACGGCTTGAATAAGAGGAAAGTTTACCTTTGGATGCATCTATTTAAAGGCACAACTCCACTACTCACAAAAAGTCCAAAGACCAGAGAGCGCTGCACAGGGAGGTGTCGGGAGAGAGGAGGAGGAGGAAGCAGAGGGAGGGATGTGTGAGACCAGTGTTTTGGATTTCTCGTTAATTCAGTGTGACCCTCTCTTTCAGTTTTTTTTTTTTTTTTGTAAACCCCTCCCACTGACCATTATCAGTACAGGCCTTATATATGCAGCCTGTTGCTGTTGTTTGTGAGTACGCAGACTTTGCAAAGGACAAGCTCAAACCACGCAGCCGACCCCACCAAACGCCATGAGAGAGTTCAAGAGCAAGGATTTCTGGAGGGCCGTTCTGGCCGAACTGGTCGGCATGACCCTCTTCATCTTCCTCAGCATCTCCACGGCCATCGGGAACCAGAACAACAGCAACCCCGACCAAGAGGTGAAGGTGTCGCTGGCCTTTGGACTGGCCATCGCAACACTGGCCCAGAGTTTGGGGCACATCAGCGGAGCCCACCTGAACCCCGCCGTCACCCTCGGGATGCTCGCCAGCTGCCAGATCAGCGTGCTCAAGGCAGTGATGTACATCGTGGCACAGATGTTGGGTTCAGTCCTGGCCAGTGGCATCGTATACGGAGCACGTCCCAACACCACCAACACACTGGGGCTCAACTCTGTGAGTATTTCCCATAATGCTCCTGTTCACTCACACAGTTTGAGATTCAAAGCTAAGGAGTTCTGAAACATTCTGTATATTTTTTTTTCTCTGTGCTGCAATTGTATCTGTCCAAAGTAAAGTGTTTTCATGAGGGAGACTGTAGGTGCTGACTTTGCAGTATTTATCTCTTTATTTGGAAGTTTTGTCATTGCATATTGCTGAGAAGTGATGACAGATGATTAAATCATGCTATAAAGACAACAGGTGCAAATAAGGAAAAGAAGATGAAAATCCAGCTCTTTGATCTCTGCAATCAGCTACATTGGGGGTTTTGCTGAACTTTTCAGTAACTCACATCTGAATAGCCCAGTTGGCACTCAGGCATCTGTGCCAAATCGCTGTCAGACATTTGGGACAATGCCAACAGTTTCTAAATAGGAAATGGTGGTGGTGATGGGAAACCATTCATCTAAATAAAACAGACTAACAGGCTATGTTTTTTTTTTTGTTCTGTTTTGTTTTTCTCTCCAACCCTCACAGCTTGCCGGTGTCACCCCCAGCCAAGGCGTGGGCATAGAGCTTCTGGCAACCTTCCAGCTTGTGCTGTGTGTCATTGCAGTCACTGATAAAAGGCGGCGTGATATCACCGGCTCAGCTCCCCTGGCCATTGGCCTCTCGGTCTGTCTGGGACACTTGGCAGCTGTAAGTTGGACCTCAGGGTCGTCCTGAAAACAGAGCAACGTTTGTCTAGAGTTAAACCACATGTTATTCGTGCGAATCTGGAGAAAACACCTCAAAGCTCATGTTTCTATCAAAAAAGCTAACGATATGTCTTTATTGCTTCGTTGCAGATCAGCTACACCGGCTGTGGCATCAATCCCGCCCGGTCCTTTGGTCCAGCTTTGATCCTGAATGACTTCACAAACCACTGGGTAGGTCATAAAAAGAAACACACACAYGTAAATCTGCATGCACACTCCATGTTGAGCTCAAATATTTCAGTTACTCACTAACAGGCAACGCAGCTACGCAAGGTAATGAGTTAATCAATATTCAGTTTGCATTAGACTCTGACGTAGGGAAGCCTTCCGAACTAGCCTGGACCTTTTTTCTTTATTTCTGTGTGGAAAACAATGTCTCGCACAGAGACTGATCAGAGTTGTCYCTTCCAGGTGTACTGGGTGGGTCCGATGTGTGGCGGAGTAGCAGCGGCTCTCATATATGACTTCTTGCTGTCCCCCAAATTCGACGACTTCCCCGACCGCATGAAGGTCCTGGTTAGCGGTCCAGTTGGCGACTATGACGTCAACGGAGGCAACGACACCACTGTGGAGATGGCGTCAAAATAGTTACAGACACTGAAAGCTAATGTACAGGTCTATACTCTTGTAAAAAATATACATACAGAAAAAACTTCAGTCTTGAGTTTAATGTGTGTTTTAGTATTTTGGTGTTGTTTTTAAATACCAGTGAGGATTGTTTTCTACGGGTCATTTTAGTGTCACATTCTTATTAACTCGTTTTCAATGACCCGAGTACTAACTTATCATCCAAACTGCAGCTCAAACGTTTGGATCGAAGGTCTTAACAAAGCAGAGTGTGAAACACTGTTCCCTTATCAGTATTCTGTGTTGAGCCATATTTTGTTTGTATATTTCAACATATCTGTATCACTTCTTGTTTCGAATAAATAATATGTTCCATGTGCACTTAAATGTCTTACACTTTTATATGTAAAATAAAAAAACACTGGATGTGAAAAGGTGTCAGTCTTTGCTCTTCGTTTTTGTAGATGTTGTAAAAAAATCACCATAAACCTGCCATAAAACACAAACATTTTAGATGTGTGGACACGTGCAAAAGAGTGTCAACTTCAATGAAAGTAAAACTCTGTTGTTGCAACAATGCTTCTTGGTAATAAATCTTGATTGGCAATAACTGAGGGAACCAGAAGCTCGAAACAAACGTCAACGGCTCTGCTGCTCGTCCAACAAATGCATGTTCCTTACAAACGTGGCGCCATTTAAAAGCACAGAGTGTAGGATTTTGTCAATTCTTTTAGCCAAAATTGAGATAATCACTAATGACAATAATAAAAAAACATGTCTAATCATTGCAGATAAAGACCTTGTTTTATTATTTTTACCTAATAAAAAGCTGTTTATATCTCCATGGTCGCAGGTCGCCCTACAGGCAGCCGCCATCTTGCACCGCCATCTTGTCTATGAAGGCTCATGAAGGACAAACTGCGGTGGCGGCGTCAAAAACGGTTTTAGTTGTAATACTATAAATGTAATATTTGTTGTCTGTCATTGTAACTGGGATAATTTTACTTATTAAAGCTCATAATCTTACAACTTGAAACATCACTAGCCCTGAAGCTGCTAGTAGACATGGCGGTTGGAATTATCAAAGGTTTTTGACACCTGAGAGACACCGTAGCAACTCCTTTGCGTTTGGAAGKGGGGGAGGACCAGGGAGGATGATTCAACCACTCAACCACTAGATTTCGCTGAAAACAACAAATCCTACACACTGTGCCTTTAAATGGGAAATTAACAAGCTTTCCAACAATATGAGACTTATTGCCAAGAGACGTTTGCGAAAAAAATCTACCAAACACTGGGTAAAACACACATTTTGTAAAGAAACTACACATTTAAAATGAGGTTGAATAATCTGTTCATCGTTTATTTGGGAAATTATCAAACAGCAAACAAAAGAAGCTTAGTCGGCTTTTGGTTCTTAATTTTGACATTTAGTTTGAAATATCTTCAGCTGAAACACAATGTAGGATTTGGAAGATTCCACTAACTCCTTCAACCACATCTGCTTGTTTTTCTGTGTTGCCCTTTAACACAGATTGGAGCAAAAGACAAATAAAGAATAACTCAGTAGTCGAGGATTAATTACTTTTTAATAACACTTCCTATTCACGGTAACAATGGAAAAAATCTCAGCTCGTTCACTGCAAAACCAAGTCTCGCACTTAAAACGTTTTGTCTTGTTTTGAGACTGATATAAACAAGAGCAGAATGTGTCCCATTATTAATCTTGTTAGCTTATTTCAAGAAGTTGTACCAAGTGAAATTGTCTTAATGCGCTGGCGGATTATTTTGTTTAATTTGAGACGATTCAGACTTTAATCTAGTATTTTTAAACTTATTTTACGTGGTTAATTTTTGCAGTATTGGGAGGGACACCGCTTCGTTCCTGCCCCCTTATATCCTAAAAAGAACTAAAAAAAATAAAGAAATAATATAAAAAACAGTTCTTGGCACATTTCAAACTGACTTACAGGCAGAATTTGTATTTCTTTGACAAGCTGCCTGCTAAGAGCTCGTGGGCTGGGATGGAGTCCAGATTTTATCTGAATGTTGTTAAAACGATCGGATCTTAATCCTCCAAGTCCAACATGCTCTACTGTAACCCGAGCCCCTTCTACCACTTCCACCTGCTGGCATTCCTGTTGTCTACACAGGGATGATAAGCTGCCTGTTTAATTCATGGCCTGTCTTCAGATTTTATTTTTATCTTGTCCTTCTTTGATTTGTTTGCCTATATGTTCACCCGTGGCTGAGTCTGACCTGATGAAGGACTTTTGCTGTTTCTCCTCTACTTACTTGATGTTTTTCTATTCAAGTATGTTTTTTTTTCTGCTATACACACCTCATTGTATCATTATGGCTTTTTCATTTTAGACAGATCACCTCAGGTGTWAAATATCTGTTAAAGAGACTCGAGGCCCAAAAGTCCAAATCTGAGATTTGTGAGATTTTCCAAATTGTGAAAGCTCTTGGGGTGAGTTTACATTTGCAAACTCTGAGGAAAAATCTTTAGAATCGCACTTCTGTGCCCTATCGGTCGTTCCTTGAGTTTCTATTTGCATGTGAGGCCCTCTGTTTTCCACAAGCAAAGATATGTGAGTAACCTTCCTTTTCATTGTTTGAGTTAGGCTGTATTGATCGCTCTGCCTTTATGCCTCTATTTTCTCCTCTGTTTGTCTTTCCTCCATCTCACTTTTCTCTGCTTCCCTTTTTCATTAAGGCACATGTTGGAATCTGCTGCACTTAAGAATTCAAGGACCTGTAGGACCGTAAGTGCCATTTGTGAATTGTTTTCTAACTGTATTATTCTCAGACCACCCTGACATCACTCCTGGAAGTACTCTTTCCAGGAGCAACTTTTCTTTGAATTCCTTGTCATAATTTTGCAGGGCGTTCAAACTCTTGAATTGGCGTTGCCGGTTTTCAAGGAAGTACTAATTTTCCTAGAACTTCAGGTCCCTTTTTCAAGGAATCCTTTTGGCTCCACCTATCTATTATTGGTAGTTTGTTCAGAAAAACTTTGTTTTTATATATATATTTGAAAACTTTATAAGTAGTTTAGATCAGCCTTGATCTGATGAAAATATATAAAGTTTGTTTGCGTCGTTCTGCCACCTGTAAAACCTCTTTCTCATGATAGTTCATCATGTTGGGTGGTAACAGACCAGTAACAGTTCTAAGAAACGTGTGATGGGAAATATGGGATTGCTAATTTTAGGAGCTATATTTAAGGAAAACAGCAGAGGCTCAGTAGCAGTACTTTGCTGTACAGAGCAACTGCACCTGGGAATGTAATATTTTGGCCTCAATTCAAACTTTTGACCAAGAATTTTATTATCAGCTACAAATGGATTCAGTGAACAACAAAATCATCACCAGGTAGCATGACTTTTTTTGTGGTTACACTTGCAAATGAATGATTTTACTAGATTTTCATCTTGTTCAAGTGCACAGAAATTTTCAGCAGAAGCTGAAAGTATCATTTTGCCTTTTTTAATAGATTGGCAGTATTTTAATTAAAGACTTGACTTGCCTCCACTTCTACATAATTAAATTGTCTGGAACGTTTTCATCACCAGTCATCAGGACCCCTGCTACATCCCAAAAAGTCCATCTTAATGGCATTGTTTGTCTTTGGAGGATTAGATTTTGGTTTTCAATGAGTTAATATTGCCTTATATCTGAAAGTCAGAGGCTGTGAACATTGTAAGTCAGTGGTGTGTGTGTGTGTATGTGCGTGCGTGCGTGCGTGCGTGCGTGTGTGCGTGTGTGTGTGTGTGTATGCACATGACAAGGTGCTCCCACTGGCACA